CCTCTCTCACTGTCTCTCTCTCTCTGTCAAATAAATAAATAAAATATTTTTAAAAAATTATTACTCTAGCTTTTACAACCATTTATAGCATATTGGATGGAGTCTCTTGTAAAATTATGAGTATATTACATTTATGCCTGTTTTATGGAACTCAAGAATAATTGTACAGTTTTAAGTGATCATTTGAGTGCATACCTATTTTGCTTTGATGACATGTGGCCGGTTGTATTTATGGTTTTACGCAATGCTGAGTCCTTGGTCCAGATGCTATTCTGTTATAATAATTTTCCTAGGGGGAAAATCGGTTTTGTTTTGTAGCAGTCCCCTTAATGATGCAGTTTCCAGGAATGCCTGCGTTCCATTTAGGAACAGACGATCAGCATATTTTTCTCTTTCCTGCAAGGATTTGGCTCCTATGTCCCTCCTGGAGAAAACAAGCTGCCTTCTTGGAACTCTCTCCCTCAAGCCTGCCCTCCAAATCGTGAGATTCCCTATATCTGTTCTTTCCGTCTGTGCCCTTCACTGACCATCCCGGCTCACTTGAGAGCACTCAGGCCTGCTGCAATGCTGCATTGCTGCAGCTTCTGCTCCCTGGGCTATCCCTTAGTCTCCCTCCGAGCGTGCGTGCTGGCCGTGTCCCTCCAGGGCAGCCCCGGGCTGCTGCTCTCCATGACTACACAGGTGCTAGCTCGCCTCAGGTTTCCACAAGAAAGGCAATCACACCAAACGTTTTGTGATTTTTTTTTTTAACTTTCTGGAGATTCAGGGGGCCCCAGTCATGGTACAGCTCCCAACATCGCCTCTCTCACTTCGTCTCTTTCTCCCTTTCTTCTCCTCCCCCCACCCCGCCCCCAGATTCACCCAGGAGCTCCCTGTGGTGTGACAAACCAAACTCCAGCCTCTGCAGACCCAGCTTCTACCCCAGGCAGGAAGGGTGTTTCCTACTGAAGACAAGCTCCCCCTGGGAGGAGTGCTTGTACCAGCCACTAATCGAGTATGTTTCCGCCATCTTGTTACACTTACAATCATAACACCCCAAAAGCATTTGCTTGCATATTTTCATGAATAACTAGAACAAGTTCTGGCTCGCAGAATCATTTCATGACCTAGTACTTTAAACTTTGTTTTTACAAGTGATACAGCAGAGGAGTACAAACAGAGGGTTTGGACCTTTCTTCAACTTGTGGTGGGCACGTAAGCTAACAGTAAATCAGGATAAAAACAGATCCGTGAAACCCAAGCCCCATCTGGTATATTTACTTCTGTTACGGTCACATGGTAAGTGTTCCCAGTTTTACATACTCCAAATGAGGGAGCATCACATCAGATACACAGCATCTGCTACCGAAACTCAATCATTTAAATGAAAAAACCCCAATGACATGAGAAGACGGCCTGAGTGGGTGGATCAGGCACTTCTTTGGCCCCTTAAGGGCAAGGATCTCAGGAAGGACCCAGGAGAGAAGGAGGCCCCTGAGGCTGAAGGAACGGCCAGGTTAGGGAACCTTTGTGAGTACAAGATGTGAATTGAGCTCAGCTGACTGAGCAAGAGGTTAAAATAGAAACCAAACACTGAAAATGTTGCCAACAATTGGAGAAGTGATTTCTACTACAATGGAGGTTGCTACTCTCTTTTAAAGAAAAAAAACTGAGCCACCTGAGGCTAAATTTTACTAATATTACAAAAATGTGTTCTCTGTTAAGAATTGCACATTCTGGTGGCTCAGTTGGGTAAGCGACTGCCTTTGGCTCAGGTCAAGATCTCAGGGTCCTGGGATTGAGCCCCGCATCGGGCTCCCTGCTCAGTGGGAAGCCTGCTTCTCCCTCTCCCACTCCCCCTGCTTGTGTTCC